AACACCGCCACGGCTGAAAGGGCGAGCATGTTTGGGGTGATGGAGATTCGAACCCGCGACCCTCAGATTAGGGGGTCGAGCGCCCTAACCACCTGGCCATGCTGGGCCAAGAAAATAAGCGAGGCAATTATAACAATAAATGACATGCAGAGTAGGAACAACAGACCTTGAATGAAACAGTCAGTTGTTAGGAGCCATCCCACAGCAGTGATGATGAGGTTGGTGGATATAGTACCAATAACAGTCAGTGGTGTAGGAAGGAGTTAAATAATGGGGGTGCTTGGCTGGACATGCAGATTTTACAATGAGAGATTGAAATTATAAGGAGCTGCTAAGAGCAGCTACCCAGATTCCAAAGGCAACTCAATCTAGGAGGGGTCTGGGGGCTCATGGCTCTTGTCACAGAGTTAGAAAGCCAGAATAATTGTGATAATTATGGGACATATTTTGCATTTGGTATGTTATTATTCCGTGTTCTTTGGATCAATATTTAATTAAATAAAAAAATATTTATTGCAGTAGTACCATTAGTACAAAAATGTATGGCTAAGAGTCAGCAACAGCAAAAAAGAACAAAACCAATGTAAGAACTTTTTTCTTTTTCATATGTATTCTTTATTTATTATTATAAAAATAACTAAAATGTAAGAATTATAAACTTTTTAGGTTAGATAAGGTAAACTAAGAATAAAAAATATAGAATAGCTAGTGTGTTATGTAATTTGATAGGGTAATGTGAGCTACACATTCACCAAGGAATTTCAAATTTTATGGTGGGAATATTAATTTATACATGGTTCAAAGGGCAATAAAACAATAGAATTTAAGTATAAATAGATGTATACTGTTATGATATTTAAGTTATTTAGGATAAACAAATCAAGTTTCATATAACAATCTGATGTCATTCTAGAAAAAAAAAAGAGGGTAATTTAGAATTTATTTAAATTATTTTTGGGTGGCTACAAGGTTGGTCAAAATGACCAACTTCATATAGAGTTAGGATAGAGAAAATTAACAGATCAAATATAAAAATTTCTCTAAAAATTAAAACATTTGATATTTGTTTAGGAGATTTTAGGGATTATGCAAACAAAATTTGAAAATTTTCAGAAGAATAAAAGTATTCTTAATCTTAATATACGAAATTCACATTGCACTCAGAGCAGTCAACACTCTGACATAATATATTTAAACAGTAAGTTTTAGTAAAAATACTTACTTAAAAATTCTGATGTTTTATTTATGAAAGATTTAAAAGTTCACTGAAAGCTTGTCGAATTTCATGAAGGTGCAATAAGTACTTTCATTGTTATAATATGTATACCAACAATTATTACATGGTGGTTACAAGGTTCTGTAAAATAATAGTACATGTCCTGATAGGGTTAAAATACATAAAATTACTAATACCAGTCTGTAAATGTTAAGTTTTAACAGTGGAAAAAATTACACTAATTTATGTTTTACATGAAGCTTTGATAAGCACAAACATGCATACATTTAGTTTAATAAATCAAAATAATTGTTAGACTTTTTGTGAATAATCTATCTAAAACAAATATGAGTGTATGATTAGAAAATGGAAAAATAATCTAACTAAAACTTAGCAAAACATAATTTTATTATAAATTTGAGCGTTGGAAAAGACCAATTATTTCATTCTGTTATCACATTTTGTCATGGTTAGTAGCATATATGATAAGCTAAATCTAATTAGTAATTATATTTAGCTATTCTCTTATTATGTGCCTTAATTTCAGTATTTATTTTAACAAAAGAAAATGGCTATTTTGAGTATAATTAAATTTTTAAATAGTTTCTCACCTCGTTAAAGTCTGCATTTTTGTCCATTTTATCATCATCATCCGAGTCATCTTCATCTCGCCACTTGTTAAAATCAATTTTAAGCCAATGATGCTAGAGAGCAAATGTAAATATGAGAAGAGAAAAAAAAACCGATATTAAAGAAAGTAGTCATCAGTTAAATAACTGTATTTCAGTGTACAAACACAACCAAATACAACAATTCAAACTGCAAAATATGATAACATAATGTAGAGAGATAATGGGGCATATGCCTTATTCTTAATCATTACAAACTTGTATATGAATGAGCTGCGACAATGTTTCACAGAAAACCACAAAATTTATTCAAGTTACTTTTATTTTTATCTCACTGGCAATGAATACGAGTTTTAGGTTTCACTTATTAGGAAGTCTGTCTGTAAGTCATATTTGCAGTTTTATATAATTTAAAAAAATCTTTCATTGTGTATTTTTCACAACATATTTCTCTTTAATTTAATTGATTAGCAGCAATAGAGCCACAGGTATTTTAATTAGTATTCTTTCTTTGAATCCGTTGTATAATAGATCATTGTGATGCACATAAAATCAACAAATATACAAAGTATTCTGTTCTCTCCAAAGACCTAAAGTACAATGCCCTAGAAAAATAGAAACCTATGTATGCTACAGCCTGACAATTTATGCTACAAACATTTTTTTCTAAATGAATGTTAATTATTGCATTCATTTTGTAATTCATTTATAAATTCAAATATGAATGTTGTTGTTGTTCTAAAATTCCCTAGGTATGATTACTTTGGGAATATAACAAGTGTTGACCCACCCACTTCAGTTATCTATATACCACCTACAAAAGGACCACAAGCCTAAAAATAAATCAAAAGCAGATTAAAAATACAGTAGCTAAACTCCATTAAGATATACCTAGGCATAGCAAACTAATACTGATTCAAAGAAAGAGGAAAAGCTTTTAAAAATCATTCAGCAGACTTGTTTGATTTCAGAAAATTGCTTTAGGAACTAAAGAAAAACATGGAAGAAATAACTCTAATATTAGAGTAATGTAGAATATCAGAATTTTTTGTTTTGTTTTTCTGATACACTAACAGACCCCTTAAACAAGAGAGATTGATGAAACTTGATGATAAACTGAATATGCATGAGATCAGTACATCTGACCGACCTCATATTAAAGAAGTAGTGTTGACTATAATTTTGAATTTACAAAGTGTATATTCAGGAAATGTAGCAAACCTTTATTCAAAAGTACAAGTCAGTTGTACACAAAAAATCAGATATGCAACTAAAGTTTTTGTACTAAAGATATGTCTGTGAAATACTGAAGTCAGTCTGACTGGTGATGTTCATGTGAAGAATAAAAATACTTTTGTCTATCATTCAATTTGAAAATTGTATTTGCATAACCTCTACAACCATCTAAATGTATATTCCAATTTTTTTCAGTGTCCCTCTATACTGTATCTAGTATTTTCTCTACCCTAACACAAGCTGTTGCAAAATCAGCCGTATAGAGTAACATGAAAAGTTGATAACTCTGGCATTAAATTCATACCATTTTTAATAGCACAATATAAAAGGCCAGAGCATGCACACTTTGACTCCACTCTGTATATATAGTTAAGGAAAAGGCATGAATACAATGTATTACCAGTCTCAAGAACTGTTAAATATTTCTAAATATTCTTAGAATTAAGTTTCTAAAAATAAAGAGGGTAGAAACCTAAACATATAACTTTGGTCTTCTTTTTAAATAAGGTAATGACCATATGTATGTATGCACAAACGTATACACGTTTCAGTTTCAGCTGTACAGCATGATTCCCAAGACTTGTTTATTTCAAAATGAATAAAATCCTACGTCATATTTATTTCACTGTGTCTTAAAAACTTATCTTACAAACACATACTAATGTCCCTAGACATGTGTTATTCATCAAATTACTGTGGTTGTCTGATACATTCACATTTGATTGTTAGCTACTCTTTGCAGCTATGGGATGTTCTTCACCAAACTCTCTAAAAACCTCCAATCTGATATTCAAGCTGTCTGTATATAACGTTTCTTAGTTGACTCAGTATGTATGATGAACATATCCAATACAGCAAGTTGTACATCAGTCCTTCAAAAATAAGTTTAACACAAAATTAACAGTATATACATTTCACTAAGGGAAATTTATTTATTTTAGTATATTAAAAACGTTTTGGACAGTGTTTATGCTTGAAATTACAGTATGCATGTGTCATTTAAACAAATGACACAAGAGAAATCTCACTTACAATGCTACAGTGATTATTTTCTTTTGATTAATAAATTAAAAATCATATTCCAAGTTACGAGCTAGTAAGCAACTTGAAATAAAGTTACTACGTTGGAATTATTAAGGGACAGTGAAAAGGTACCAAATTTAAATGGAAGGATATAGGGGTCTGAAGTCTAATCTTTCATTTTTTGCTGCTGTTGTTAGTTAATTTTAGGCCTGCTCAAAAAAACAACAAAAAAATAAAGTAATAACACATATTTCTGTAAAGTACAGGTAAAACATCAATTATTCAAAGGTCTTACCATAAGATGATCAGGGTTAATTACTTCTATTGGTTTGATTCTTTGGGATTTGTTGCACTAAATTCTCAGCTTCTTACAAATTTATTCTTTTCTTATAATTCAAAGTAACAAGAACACTTGATAACAGAAATGAAAATAATCTTTTAATTATTATTTGACTTATCAAAAAACTGAGAGTGTAAACATGTTATAAAATTAATATTCACTTTAACATGAGGATATAACAAAGTTATAAAGAAATTGTTTCATAAATACTTAAACAATACTGAGGCCTCATCTTGAAATTACCTAAAATATAAGCAAAAACAAACATGGTTATGTGCTCTGATCTATGAACTATAGTTTGAGAAAAAATCTAGAAAAGTTATAAAATTTTAGAGAGAGAGAAAAAAAAGAAAAGAAAACTAACTCAAGATTTAGAAACCACATTACAATTACCTTCATGTCATCCTTAAGCAACCTTTGCCAATATGGACCTTCTTGTCCTTTTACAAGAATAAATTCTATTTCTCGTCCTTTGACTAGATATTTGGATTCCTACCAAAAGAACAATAACTTAGTACACCTTAAAACCTATCTTTGAAAAAACATTAATATTAAGGGCACTCAAACTAGGAATTATTAATAATTCTACACAATATATATATTTTTTGAAGATTTATTCTAGGGGTTACAAGAATGTACTTCAATTGCACTTGCTGAAAATTTACAACAAAGTTTTTTAAAAGCCACCAGTTTGTGTCAGACATGTATATATGATTTAAATCAGAAAACCTTCAAAATTTAATGCTTTTCCCAAGTGCACGTTGACTGTTTGAGTAGTAAATATTAACAATAAATATACATTAGACATTTTCTTTGCCTAATAGTGATTATTATTTTAAATATTTTTGCACTTATTGGCTTACAAGAAGACAATATTTGACAATAACTATATATAACACAGACATATATTATATATGAATATATATCTTTTTTTTTCTGCTATATAATTTGTCATAAGTCTTAACCCACAGTGTATTTGGTAGACTATGTTGTTTTCTATAGCTGAAGTATACCTTATTAAAAGTAGGAAAATTTAAATATTATAAAATAATACTTATTGGACCACTAAAGCCATTTATCAAGACACTCATACACTGACATTTTGGATAAGTCACTTTTTTATTGCAGCATTACAGGTGTAATATTTGGAAAATATAAAATAAAAAAAAGACCAATCCAAAACTGCTCCAAGTCACAGTCATGATCTTGAGAAAAATAGTATAACACAATAAAAATTAAAAATTGAAATATGTGAAAGAAATAAAGCTAGTTTTTGATGTAGTTTTAGAAAGCAAGTATCAATACAATTTCTGTTGTGGACAAAATATCATATACTAATTGGTTCATTAATCTAAGTGTAAAATACAGTTTGATAGAGAATTACATCATTCTTGTAAAGTCACTAATCTTATCATACAAAAGTTTCCTTTACTATTTACTAAAGATAAAATTTATTATAAAGATCATTATCACACACCAATTTGAAAGATTGAGTTCAGAAGTTTTAAGAAAGAAATCCTAGTAAACAGACTTACAGGTATCTGTTATTGTTAAACTACCTGTAACTAGACATACTTTAACTTTGAATGTATTAAGATCATCTTCATGAAATATGGCATGCTTTTAGTAAACAATACAAGTCTGTTATATACAAAAAATATCTGATTTTTTATAACATTTTTTATTATGTCTGTGAACTTATGGAGTCAATCTGACTCGTATTCTAATTAGCCTAAGTGCAAAAAGAATATATGTTAAGAATAAATTTTTTTACAGTTTTTTTATTCCATATGTATAACCTCTTGTTGTCTTAAATGAATAGAAAAAGTTTTTTCAATAAAACTGTATATTTCACCTGTTATTTTCTCTACCCTAGCCCTAACAGTAGCAAATTCACCAATGTAGAGTAAAAATTGAAAAATCATGAAAAAATCTAACTTACCCCCTTTTCTTTCTAAAATGACTGCATATTGTAACAGACAATTAATTACACACTATTTATTCTTACAGCCAAAGCAAAGAGACCTTTCAAATATTGGTTCACTTAGTTATATTGCTTTACAGCTGCACTTAGACTCAGAATATGCCAAAAGCCATATATCCCAATAGAACAGCTTTGTGTATAAAAAAACGATTGAGTTACTAGCAGCACAGTCAAATCACAATCATACCTTGCAATGTACACATGCTATCACGAGTAATTTTTAGGTAATGTTTTCTTCAATTAAGTTTTCTTATCTAACAAGTTTCTATTTTTTCCATTTTAGCCACCTTTATAATAATAAAAAATATACACAAAAACAAGAAATTTAGTACACGTCTGGACTCGTCTTTTTCAAGTTTTTGCACTCAAAAAAGACAATGTACTGTGAGTATAGTTTTTGTAATAATGTTAGTGTTCCACTATATAATTTCTTTACATCAAATATGCAATTTCGAACACAAAATATTATCATGCATAAAAAATAATGTCCTAAAACTATAATAAATTTAACAGACTTTTTAACTGAGCTATAAATGAGTTAACAAGTTCCTTTAGCTGACTGAGATGAACACCACAATGGCAAACAAAGAACCTGAGGTCATGTACTTCAAAACAAGATGCAAAATACCAAAGTAGCTTTGTAAAAATTAAATACAGTAGAATTCTCTCTTTCTATTGGTTATAAATAATTCAGTAGCAAATGTCAGAAAAAAATATTTATATCTTTTGAAAGACAGGATATGAATAGGTGGGGCAATGCCTAAGGGTTTGACTTTCTTGTCAGTAAAGAAAGAAGCTATAAATTTACATTATGAATTAGCAATATCTATAGAATAAGTGTGTAAATTGTGACAAAGTCAAAAGATCATATAAGAGTAGAAAGAAAATATAAAATTGGTAAATCAGAGCCAAATGCTCTCATATGAGACAGAGAAGTGAAAACAGAATTTGTTTTAATATTTCCTTTTAAAATTAAATCTTATATGATATTAAAGTTTGAACTATAAACTACATTTTGATGACAAGTTTACTGACATACATTGATAATAAAGTCATCTTAGTAAATTTTGAAGGTAACTCTATAAAAAGGATACGATATACATACTTTGTTTTCCTGTGTTCTCGGGTAAATACAAAACATGAAAAAGAGTAATTAAGTTTTAGAATGCTAACAGAACAAAAATTCATATTACTTTATTAAAATATATAAGAATAACTCACATCTGGTTTAATTTCTTTAAGAAAGTCAAGAGTAATTTCATGGTCTTTACCCTCTGTGCCTCCACTTCCTCTGAAAAAAAACAACAACAAAAAAACTTGGACTTCAAATAAATCATTTTACCTCTATTTCCTAAACAGTAATGGAGAATTTTTACCTTGAAGTTTCCATAATTAACACCAATATTTAAACAGTTATAAATGAATAAAAAGAAATATACATATATTAAAACTACTAAATTAGCTTCTGAAAAATAGTTTAAATAAAAATTCTGCCTCACACAAAAAAAGAGTACCCAGTAAGTCCACATGTAAATGTAGTTTTAACATAACACTTAGCAAATCATTCTGTGATAACCTAAATGATGAAAATTTCATTGTCATTTTCACTTCATTACTAAGCAGTCTTAATGAGGTAGGAAACCTAACTCAACTAAGAAATGTTTTTGTGAATATAACAAAAAGTTGGTTTATGAAAATAAATGTTTACACACATAAATTAGTGTTGTTGTGATGGATAAAAGCACAATAGTCAATAAAAGATTACATATATCAACACAGTTATATGAATTTTAAAAACTGCAAGGAATTGAGTTATAGGAGTACAGAGAGTCAGTCAACCCATCTTGGTCACACAATAAATCAAAAATTATAAGAACAAAGAATTATATACTACAAAATTAAAAATAGTAAAATACATTTTACTAAGATTCTTGCTTTGACATCAAAACCTTATTTTTTCTGTTGTTCATCCACATTCCTCTTATAATTTTTAACTTTTAATATCACATAAATTCTCATCTAAGAATTATTATGTGTGTGTAATAATACACAAATAACACCACCTACTGTTAGATTCTGTAAACAAATCACCAACAGTCATGTGATAGCATGACATACACTTGCCAATTCTATAACTACATTTAGATTTTCTCCCATAATCTATTGGTATGGGGAGATGATTAGAACTTACAGATATCTCTTTCAACTATATTTTATTATGAACACAATTTAAAATGAGATACCTCCTATATGTTTAGCTAAAATTACTACATTGTAAAGGAGGTAACATGGAAGAAAGCAAAAAAGATGCTTGACACTCCTGGAGAAAGCAGGTGTCTTGGACGATGAACCTCACAGAATAGCAACATGGTAGAGGGCAACATCACTTGCAAATATGCATTAATATTCATGCCCAGATCATTGGAGAGAAATGTGACCTGTCACAGAACTCAGAACACACACTATGGCAGAACCTAGGACAATTTAATGGGCATTCTAAAAACCTATTGTGTACAAGTAACTTCGATACCTCAGCCTACTCACATAAGTGTCCAAAAAATAGAAAATAAAATGAGAGATGAGTTTCACTTTCTATACTTCATATTGTTGTAAGATGCCAAGTGGACAACCCCAAAGTTAAATTTATGGTGCATTCAAACAGTGTTACACCACCTTAAAAAGTAGTGCAATGAATTCATTAAATAGCTATCATACAAAACTGAGAATGAAGAATACTTCTGAACCTTACCATACAGGTCATATATACAGTACAGATTAATCAACCTACCCAGTCCTCAAGAAAAAAATTGTGGTACAATGCACAATGCTTACCTAAGAGGTTACTGCAGCCACACACACAGGTATGCAACCCTAATAAGAAAGGCAGTCCATTAGATAAATGGAAAATTTTTATTATTATCAAATGGTACTCTGTTCAAGGAATCTACTTTCAAAATAAGCCTGGATATGATGAAAACAATGAGAAGATATAGGATAGGAAATCTTTCACATGCCATGTCAAAAACTGTCTCACAGGGAAGCTCAGATTGTTGCATCTAAGGAGGAAGTTAAGTTTCTTATCTGATGAGAAGAATTTGAAAACTTTGGAAAATGTCATTTACAATGTTAACATAAATATACAAGATAAGAAACTTAGGCCACACTATAAGATTAATTGTTTAATTTTACCCATAGCTACTCAAAGGCAACCTACACCAACCATCCCTAGTTTTGAAGTGATAAATACTAAAAGGAAACAAGGTAGTCAATACTACCAACTCTTGGGCTATTCTTATAAGACCAACTAGTGAGATCTGACAGTCTCTCTTATAATGCATCCATGGACCTAAAGTGTAGAGTGTTTTTTTTTTGTGTGTGTGTGGTAATGAGGTGCAAACCAAGAAATCTGAGAGCCATAGTCTAGCCCACTAACGGCTGAGCCCTTCCTGGCCCACACTAAGAGAGAGAGAGCATTTAACACTGATAAGAATACCACAAATGGAAGAATAAATATGCATCATTGCATCACACCTTTATACTGTACTGTATACAATCAGACTGTGCAAAAAATTAAATATAAAACAGAAATCTAAATATTTTAAAAGACCTGAATAAGTTTTACTTCTAATTACATTTATAGCAACTAATTAAACTGGGAAAATAAAACAGAATTATAAAACTTTTATTATACTTGAATGAGTTGCTATTAACTATATTTCTATATGAACTTACCTGAAGTATAATTTGTCTTTTTCTAACTTTATTGTTGGATTCCTACAATCTTCTAGCGCAATCTTTAGATAAATGTGACCTTTTCTCTGAGCCCATAACACAGGAGGAGGAAGTATTCTGTTGAAATCAGGGTTAGATTTTTAATAACAAAATTATAATATTCTGAAAGCAAAAGTTTCTTATGTCAAAGTCATACCATTGAGGTGGAAGACAGGAGTTCAGTTATTTCATTTGTAAAAGCATACACATGGCATTTTTAAGTTGTGAATTTAATTACGTTCAACTTTTGAAAGTTTTAATAAATACTTTTTTTTAAGAATTCTAGTGTTAACATTTCAGTTATTCTCAGTGTAGAATAATAAAATTATTACATTATGAATATTCAAAAACAAAACACCAAAGTGGCATAAACTCATGAGTACTAACACAGCTGAGATGCATAAATTAATGTATTTTAGAAACCAACTTTAGGATTACTTTCATAGAATATATGTAATTATTTATGATAATCATCTGCTTTCCATTAATGCCATCTGTAGTTTTAAACCCTATTACCAAAGAACTATAAGAGAATATTTTATTAATCATAACATTGAATAATGTATGATGAAAAATACAAAAGAACAACTGTCGAAACTACCTTCCATACCTCTCCAAAATTTCTACAGAACTGTAAATAATAACTTCAGATCAGAGTAAGATATGTATTTAAAGTGAAACTGAAACCAACCTGGCCATCAGTATAGCTCATAGATGGCCAACTCACAAACCAGTCCCATGATGTTTCTAGAACTTCTTTTAAATGTTAATTCAGCTATTTAATTCTCTCATTACAGACTCAGTCACAGGGACCGACCTCATAACAATTTTGTGCTTGTTACAGTTTTCATGCTATTACTTTTAATACAGTAAGTGTATCTTATGTTTACAAAATTTTGTAGATTATCAGTAAACATTACAAGGCATTCATACACAAAATATAATATTTTTAAAAATTAAGTTTTAAGGTTCTTTCATTAATGATTTGTTCATGCAGAAAATTTTCAAATTTCACATGCAAAATCTTTACAACATGTAGATAATTATCAAATGTTGTTTTAGAACAAATTTTATATTTTATCTGTTATTTTCACTACTGTATCACTATATGGGTTTGGTCGATTTGACCAACCTCGTAACCATCAGAAAAAAATAGAAAATAGATGTAAGTTCTAGAATCACTACAAATTATAACACGAAAATACAAATGTTTAGCCTAAATAGCTTAAATCTTATAACATCATACATATATAAAAATTTATTGAAGTTGAATGATGAGGCACAAGTGCACTCATGTTACTGTCTCAAATAATCTAAAACTTGCCTATACAAAGTGACCTGTCTTGGCTATGTTCTAGAGGACCAGTATTTTGTAAAATGCAGTCAATTTTGGTTATAATACGTTATATATGTATGTAAATTATTACTATTTACAAACAAGTTCTTAAATTTCAGTTATTTTTCTTAAAACATAGAATGGTAAATAAAGAAGTATAAAAAACAATTATCTTTTCTAGTTACAAACTCTGTAATTTGTAAGCCTTATCAAATTTTGCATGTGGAGAATCAAAAACAAAATAATATTTTAGGTTTTATATATGCATTTTGAAATAACAAAAACCATAAATTACTATATCAATACCACAGAATTTCACTATAATTTATTCATGCTTAGTAACTAAGCTGTATTTGGTTTAAAAAAACACAATTTTACAAGCTCAATAATGTCTTACCTCATCACTTAGAATCTACTAAGAAAGGAAAGGGTTTCTTACATAAATATTTTAAAGAGGCTCAGAGGAGACATTTCGAGCTTTCGATTGGCTATTCACACATCATAGACAGAAAAAGGTATACATAAGCATTTCCAAAAATGGAAAAAGGTGGGCAAGGCCATTGTTTTTGATTCAATAAATGTAATGATATCTCAGCAAATAGAAAAGGTAAGAGGACCTTATTTTATATCTAGCTTGTCAATATTGATAACTTTAGTTTCTAAATCGTAAGAACTACAGACTTTGTGTGTATTTGGAAATCACATGCATCCAATCTGAACTAATACTGCATTCAACATAACCACATGACACACAAAAATCAATATTTAGGATTTGTTTTAATATTTACTTATAAATTAAGAAATTAATGTATAATATTAAAATTTGAGTTATAATCTACAATTTGATACCAAACTTATTAACATACACTCATAAAATAGTAGTTCACTATTGTTCCTTTGACCCGTGTTCATAGAAATACCCGTCTCGGTAGGGTTAATCAAAATAATATAATTAACTGAGGGTCTATAGTAAACGGTAAGAAATTTAAATTAAGCAAATATTCTGAATGCACTTAGAATGCAATGGTTCATTAGCTGGGTACTCTTACTGTTAAAATATTTTCAGCTGTGTGTCTAATATCTCATGAGGTTTGACCAGCTTAGAAGATTTAGGGTTAGCCCTAAGTACAAATTCCAAGCTAACATATAATAAAATAATATGTACTTTAATAAATAAAAAAGTATAATAATGAATGAAAAATAAAAATAATTACATTTGATATAGTTACTAATATAACCAATATTATTAATGAAAGGAAGAATAAATAAACAAAATAATATACCTTTCTAAAAGAACACACTCTTTGAAAATTTGCCAAGTTCTAACATCGCACTTTACCAAAGGAGCTAAGTGCTGCACCCCTACTATGTCTTAACTGTGACAATTAATGGTATGCGTTTCAGTTATAAATGTGTTGGGTTAGATGCACCAATTTTACCATGATTACTAACTCAAATTTAATGTAGCCTTGAAACATCTGTAAACAAATATAAGAGTTAAACTAAAATCATAAAGCCAAACACATTTCATTGAGTGAAAATTCCTCAAATATATATATATCAGAAAATTTATCTAAAGAATAAGTCTAGATGTATTGTTTCAAATTCAAGAGCATTTTGTCAGTGTTAACATGATAGAGTTTTGGCTTTAATGGACTGCTCCTGCCTGTATCTAGAGCAGTTCATTGAAGCCAAAACTGTACTAAGGCTAGATATAGGATTTGCAAAACCTTATTAACATTATGTTTGCACTCTTAGTCTCATTTGTTTTTTAGACCTAGAAGGTTCTAGGTGAATTTATTTTGGTTTTTATTTTAATTCATTAACCATTTATAGTTCGATGAATATTATATTAGCATAATGTGCTTCCTTATACTATAGACTATAGTAGATTGATCAATTTAGGTTACATCGCTAGCCAATTTGATTTATATTATATTCAAGAATACAAATAACTGAATCAATAGTCAAAACACACTAATTTTAACTCTTTACTTAGCTTTAGTCTTTCCATATTATATTATTAATTATTAAACTTAAAGTAATATTTCCACTTCGATCAGTCACTTTCAAATTCAAAATGCCCACAATTAACTTTAATTTTCCTTCTAACCTATAGCTCTCGTAATCGTATGTATAGCTTAACTTAAGTTCAATATTCATTGAATATATGTTATAAATAAAGTAATATTATCCACCTACTGAACTATCCCATTTTAAAACCACATAATGCATAAAACATGCAATGATGCATAGTCTACCCGAAGAATTTTCTCGAAACATTAGATGGCGTTCTTTAGTTATGCTTCGACTTCGAACTTGGTTTCTAAGCCTAACTCATTATAACTTATAAACTCAATCATTCATGAAACCAAACTGAAAACATTTACACACACACAAAACTTACTTATCGAAATTGTCTTATACAAGTATTTACTAACACCTGGAAATACTTACTCACGGTTATCGGTGGGAATATCAGACGACATGTTTTGTTTCCCCTAACACTTAGCGAATTTCTAAAACTCTTTTTAGTAAAACATGTGAACACCAAAGTTATTACGCATTCAACTTTTGGTTGAATTTTGTGGACCAATGTAAAGATAGGTAACACATAAAATCAAACAATAATAAAATAAATATAGCGGTGTATAATTATACTTCGATACATTTCTTAAAACCTACTTACAATAAAAAAATACTTATATTTTATATTCAACAACACTTTTTATTATTAACCAATAACCTTTAAGATTTATGTTTATCGGAGATGCGGGATACTTACTGGAGGAATGATATCGTTATACTAAATCGTCAGAAGAGAATCGGATGGTTGTTATAATGTTTTCGTATGTTCGTGCTATACTGGAGTAATTTTGTGTGTATTATGTTAAACATTATTATATTATTACTTATAAACGGATAATATATAGAGTTAACTGGTCTAATGATCTGGACAGCTTTAAACATAACTGACTAAATTTAACCGTTTTACTTTTTGTTTTGCTTCACTCCTTCAGAAATTCGGTTTCACTCAGTATCATACCATTTCTAAATTGTAATTTGTAGTTCTACTTTCAGTTCAATTTCAACTTTCAAAGTTTCAGTTTCATTTTTAAAATTGCTTTGTATTTGGTAAGACACTGTAAGTTAATTTAGATTGAAAAGAGTAAATGAATTTAATATTATTATAAATAAAATTAAAAGTTGGCATCATGAAGTCATTTAAAGACTCATTTTGGGTAAGTAATGTAACTTTTATTTTTAATTTTATTTCATTTTAACTTAAGTTTAAAGTTTTGTTACATATTATTATTAATGTGCCTTTAAGAATTTAAGAAATGATGAATCACAGGATAAAATAAATAGCCAGCATGGATGTCATCAGTCATATTATGGCCTTAGTTTGATATATTTTATTGAAATTAGTTTTAAAAGTTGTGTTCAGTTATTTATGAAAACTGACATTCTGAAACTGTACGATATTTTGAAAGAGATGGGTTAGGTGGCTAGTCTTATAAATGGGAAAAATATTAATGGAGTAGGATAGTTTTGTTTGTTCAATCACACTAGCTGAAAGTTGAAGAGGATTATACTATATTATCATATTTCAGCCTAATGTTTTGCTCATGAACTGGAAATAATATAAGAATTCAACTACCAATAAATGTAAAATGTTTAGTTTGCAATAATGTGAATTTTACTAGTAGCAATAAAATAAAGAATTCTGAGGTTTATCAAAATAAAATTAGTAATACTGCTGTCATTGTTGAAAGGCTGGTGGTATTGCCACCAACAGGAAGGTGAAAATAAGAGCCACTGATTTACTACTTCAGCTGACCAGTGACACATACGTCAACAGTTTAATTAGCTTGTCTGACTAACCCCAATATTTCATGGTTTGTCACAAAATAATGAATTAGTTATCATAAGCTGATAGTTACTAGTAGCAGGGAAGATTATCAACATATGTACATTGTGAAAGCTTTTTCTTCTTTCCAGAAATGTCAAACCTGTCTAGATCACCATAAAGAGAAACAATCTCATGAGGAGAATTGTAGCAGCTGGCAAACTATATGCAATTGGCATAGAGACTTCCCATCCTTTAGTTTCATTTACTGTTGTCTGTGTCAGTAGTGTTATCGTGGTTTTAATTGCCACCTTCTTATTGGTGTCAGTAGCCACTTTGATTTTTAACAAATTCAGAAGAATTAAAAATATATGTCAGCAAAAAACATCAAGTTTTACTTTAAGGTTTTTAAGCTTTTTTTTTAATTGCAAAAATAGAGCTTAGAACTTTTTAAAGAATATTTTTTTGGAAAAAGGAAAATGCTTAATTAAAGGGAAACTTTTGATGGTTAAAAGGTTGTGAATATATACTCCCAAATTCTAAAAAGAAAAGGTCTTGGGAGGTACTGGAAAACTGTATGCATTTAAGTATTTTTTTCTCCTCTCCCTTGAGTAAAGAACGATAAAAAATGACCTTTTTTAAGTTTGCAAAATTATACAGAAGAATAGTAGGATAAATAACTGATTTCTTTGTGGTGTATTCTGTATATAACAGGATGAGAAGACACAAAGTTAGGGTGACTGCCCCATATTTCGAAGCCTCGTTAGTCACAGGTTTTTGGTTTTTGCAATATAAGTCAAAATTAAATGAATAAACAAATTCGTAGGTCTGTAATAGATGAATGCAATCTCAAATAAAAAGTTTAAAGGGTATATCTTGACTTCCACCTTTTTGATGAGTGTATCCCATTTGAGTCAATAACATGGATGCATGTGGAATTAATTGTAAATATAAGAAGTACAGTATATAGAAAATTGGCTTAATGGTAGAAATTAAAGACTGTTGGAAAATGTTATTTTATCTGCTTGGGATAATGTTACTAGTGGGGCCTCTCATGAGGCTGGTTTGGGATTTTGTTCTTTAAAGGTAAGTTATTTCTTATAGATGAGCTCCACTTAAGCAGGCTGTGTAGCAAGATGTTTGGGGAATCTCTAAAGAAATGAACTGAAGAAAGTTTAAACTTGCATGGTGTTGAGAGAGTTTGGGAAATTGGAATTAATAAACTAATAGTTAGGTCAACAGGGAGATTAGAAAAAAGAGTAGAGCAAAAGTTAAATAACAGTTTTAAAGATCAGTCTGTCATATTTAAAAATAAGCTTACAGTAGTTGCTATTATTCTAATAGAGTATCAAAATTAATATTTATGAGTTCGTGGATCAAGTTTAAATGGAAACCTATATAATACAAATGGAATTATGAAACTTGGTTAAATTTGGAGGATAATGAAAATAGGAATTACTTTGAAATACCAGATGATAAGCTATTTTAGATTTTTAAAAAGTGGTGAAATAAGATAGGTCTTTATATAAGGAATGAAATACATCATGAAATCAAGACATGAAAAAATGGTTGTCAAGAGGCTGAATTTTTCTAACATTAAGCATAATATATGGACAAGTTCAACAAAGGACCATTTGACCCTTCAAGGCTTTCCTTTCACACCCACATTTTAGAAAAGTGAAAATTTAAACTTTTGTATTACTTTTCAGAAACTCAATGATGCCTGTCTTAAACTCTAATACTGGCCTCCACTACTGCAGATGGTAAACTTATTTAACTGGAGCCTAACATGTATTTTCCAAATCTTAAACCTGTGTCCTCTCATTGTATTAAGTTCAGAATATAACATAAAAATGAGTAGTGTTTGTCCCATTAACTCCCTGGATAATCTTCAAACCTTCAGTAAGATCACATTTTACCCATCTTCTATCAGTGATGCAAGGGAAGATAAGTTAAAAGATTTTAACATATCCCCATAAGATAACCCATCCTTTAAATCCTCTCAGCAGCCCTTCTCTGAATCTTTGTAAGTAACTTAGTATCTTTTCATACATAAGGACACCAAAACTGTACACAGTATTCCAAATGAGGGCTAATTAGTGATTTGTTTAGAGAAAATTATCTTTTTTTTTACTTTATTCAATATGTCTATAAGTACACTAAACTCATATTAGCTTGAATGATTTATCCACCACTATGTCAAGTTCCTTTTCTTCAGTCATGCTAGTGAGCAGAATGACATCTATATTAGATTTTTGACCAAATAACATATTACATATAATTTATAAATAGCAAGTGACTTGTTAATCTATTTAGGATTTTTCATTTAATAATCTAAATTTTAAAAATAAAAATACTCAAAGCCAGACTTCATCATTCAGATATTTATCAAGCCTTCTCTTAAACTGCTTTAAGTATACTACATAACACGTCTGAAGAAAATCCATTCCAAAGGTCAACTACCATGCTAGAAAAATAAAACTGCCTTACCTGAAGATGACTCCTATCCTGTCGTAATTTATACTTGTTTCCCTTAGTTCTACCATTCTCATTATTAAGTATGAAAAAATATGATGCAACAACTCTATCAATTCTCTAAACAATCTTAAACACATCAATCAAATTCTCTATAACTCTTCTTTTTGAAGAGAAAACAATATTAGAGATCTTAATCTGTTCTTGTATGCCAACCTTTCTATCCCAGGAATCATCCTAGTGGCCCTTCTCTGATCCCTTCCTACAATTTAATGTTCTTCCTAAATTAAGGAACACAAAACCCAAAATGTGGTCTAACCAGTGACATACACAATGAAATTATAATCTCTTAGACTCATATTCAATATTTCTGCCTCCTTCCATCCAACTACTTTTCAATCCATTGAGCCATCTTATCCCACACACCTACAAGGATAATTTTTTTAACAAGTCTCATTCAAAGAGATATGATCCAAATGCATTACCTTGAACTTAGTGTACTACAATTAAAAGTCATTTGTCAAACTTTCCGATTTATCCAAGTTATTTTGTAATGCCTCACCTTCCTCAATACACTTAAGAATACCTAACAGTTTATTGTTATCAGTAGATTTTACTAATTATGCCCTTATCAATATCATTAATTTAAATAGGAGAAAACAAAAGCCCAATTACTGACCTTTGAGGTACTTTTTCGAGTAACGTGTCTAATTTGATGTGACCCCATTAAGAACAACAATCAAATTAACTAGTCTTTCCCATTCCCTACTGATGTGATTTTCTTACCCAATCTTCTGTTTGGCACCTGATCAGAACCTTCTTAAAAATCTAAGTAGACTAAATCCACATGTTTTTCATCATTTAGATAACAATGTTACAGAAAAAAAGGATAACTTATTAGTAAGGTAAGAGTTTCCTTTAATGAATGGATGTTGAATTTCTTTTATGATATCATATTCCACTACATGATTTCATAAAGATTCTTTATTAGATGCTCTAGAATTTTCTTCACCACAGATTTAAAACTAACCATAAATCCTAGGGCAACTTTTATCATGCCTTTTAAAAATATGAGTAACATTAGCAGATCACCAATCATGAAGAAATTGCCCACATATATATTTACCTATCAACAATGAGAGAGAGGCTTTGTTATCTGACACTTCACCTCCCTTTAAATATTGTAGAAAACCTTGACTAGTCCTGATGCTTTATTTCTAATTTCTCAATCTTAACTTACCATAAAGATATTAATATCTACATGACTCAAGTTAGTCCCATTATTTTCTATAGATTATTGAGGCATAGGAATATATTGCATTCGTTCTTATAAAAACAGAAGAGAACATTTCAAAACAGACATCTCATAGTGTTTAATAAAATCATTGCTATTATTTTTGCTTGTTATAGTTTTCATGCTTATAACTTAAATTAGTAAGCATATGGTAACGAAATTTGGCAAATTATCATTAAACATTACAATGCTTTCATACGCAATATATCAAATTTTGTATTAAGTTATAAGGTTTGTAAAGCGATGTTTTTCTCATGCCTTTTTTCTTTTTGCATGTTGCAAAAGAAAGTTTTAAAATTTCACATGCAAAATCTTTATAATGTCCAGATAGTTAAAAAACATTCCTTAAGAAAAAAACTTTATACTTTATCTGTTATTTTCAGTATCGAATTTCTGTACGGGTTTGGTCAATTTTACCGATCTCTTAACCACTTTAAAAAAATTAGGAAATAAATATAAATTATGCATCTTATATTCTAGAATGACTACACGTTATAACACAAAAATTTAAATGTTTAGACTAAATAGCTTAAATCTCATAACATTATACATTTATATATATTTATTATTTTTATTATATTGACCTTTTAGCCGTGCCTGGCTAACAATACAGAAGTTACAAT